CAGATGTCTTTCTATCATTATTGTGCCATGAAGATGATGTTAGTTCGTTATCGTCAACCCCACCTCACATGAACGAGTGCTGTTGTTAACTCGTATGACATATTGTGGCGCTATTTGCGCATTTGTGGCACTATTTGTGCATTTGTGGCGCTATTTGCGCATTTGTGGCACTATTTGTGCATTTGTGGCGCTATTTGCGCATCTGTGGCGCTATTTGCGCATTTACTTTTATTTTAAACATTGATAAAGCAAATCTCAACATTTTTAGTACCTGGATATGCTAATGGGATATTGGACCATTGAACAATATTGTAATGATTTAACATTGATGACATTGTTAATGGGATATTGGCCCAGTGTATCATATTGTATTGATTTTACATTTTTGATGGGACATTGGCCCATTCATTTGACATGGATACTATCTAAATGGGATATTGGCCCATTGTATCCATTTTGCGTGGCGTTGTGCATTTGCGAAATTTACCCAGTGCACAATATTTAGCCCATTTGGGGCCGCCACTTTTGTTGTTATTGTTAGGGAGACGACCCGGCGGCCGCTCCCAAATTTGTCATATGTCACCGCGACCAGATACGCCAAACTTCAAATAAATCCTATCAAACTAACATTAAGCGTTATTTTATATATAACATCTGAGATAACACAGTATATATTCATTATTTTATTTTCATGTTCCTATACATTCATTTTATATTTGATAAAGATAAGGGTAAGAAAAATAATCGCGTCAGTTAAATGCAGTTTGTGCGTTAGCAAAAATATATCTTTCATCGAAATTTTAACACCTAATCTGTTTCGTCGTTGTGACAGCTTTTCCTTTCAAAGTACATTTAAAATACTAGACCAAGGACTAGAAAACAAAAAAGATTTATAAGCTTGTATAATTTTTTTTTTAATTTTAATGACAAAACCGAAGAGTAAGAAAATGGTAACGACAATATCTAATTACTTGATTAATTATTCCTACTACATGCAGGAATGACACAAAATTCGACAGGGATTTCTGAAACAGTGGGTGCACGAAATCGGGGCGTTGGGTCAAGTACTATTACTAAATAAATATTTTAAAGCTAAGGAAAATTCCCTTTATTACATGTTTATGGCTCAAAACGTCTCGTATATTAACTCTTCTTTATAAATAATTCCTTTAAAAAATAAATCTGTTCCATATATTAAAAGAATCGATTTAACTATTTTACACCGAGCTCATGAACGATTTCATTGTGTACTTGTAAAACGTTAGATGACGTCATAGTGCATTTCGATCGCTTTACTCGAAAAAGCTCCAATATTCAACAGCAAATATTTCTGTAGGATGCTCGTACCTTTCAATGTCCAATAGAGAAAATGTAGGGAAAATTCCCAGCTTTTAAATTATGGCATTCATTTTTTTTATCGTGTACTGTAATTGAGATACAGCCTACAGAATATAGCCCAAAATAACCAATTTATACGTAATTTTACTAACTTCCCACAATTATATTCAATGTTCAATTCAAGTTTACGATAATTTCTTAACATCGTAGAGAAAAACTTATAATAGAAAAATTGTTGTGTTTCTTCTCTAGTTTCAGAAAATATCAATTGTTTTGTTGTATCCCGATTATTTACAAAACGCCAACAGTTAAATCACTGTGATGCTGAAAATGCGTCAAAAGGCGCACTTGGCCGTTAAGGGGTTAAATTTCAAAAGTAAAGGCTAGGGCTTTCATTCTTCATATATTTAATCCATATAACACGACCTCTCATTGGATACCAGGAAGGTTTAGAATTGGACCCATGTGCGGATCTACAGGGGGGTGGGGGGTGGGGGGGGGGGTTCAGGAACCCCCCGGGAATTTCCAGTTTCTTAAATTTATATACGAAAGCAAGGAAAAAGTTAACTTGGATCCCCCCCCTCAGAAAACTCAGACTCTCCTGGTAAATGTGAACTTGTATTAAAGTGGTCCGAAAAGTTAAGGATTTGAAGCATTAAAAGTCATCGCCTACCCACCCCCCCCCCCCCCCCCCCCCCCCCCCCCCCCCCCCCCCCCCCCCCCCCCTGTCTATACACTGACCTTATCAGCAAATACAATATGTCATTAATTAAGCCAAATACTGAGTGACGTTTTTCAAACAAACTGGTGGGTCCTTATTTACATATAAATTTGTCTATGGATTGATGTCAAATTTAAATCATTTTAACTCTAAATATGAAGACAATTTTTGCAGCAGGGGTTACTACAAAGGTTACTTTAGGACGCATAAGTCGTAAACCAAAACTGGGTTGAAAATAATTCTTGAACAGTTTTAAATGGTCATTTGTATTAAAATAATGTAAAACAATAGTTTTAGGCGTTTTCAGAGAGATAGATTCATTAAAATATACTCAGACTCCGGTTTTTCGGCAAATACCTTCATTTCACCGAGTTCAATCAGAGGATCTCGACAATAATTAAGGGTCCAATTCAAGGTGTTTCGCTTTAAGATATATCAGAGATGATAAACAAAATAATACATTATAAGATTAAGCGTGTCGTCTCTATGTACATTTTAGTGATTCATTCACGTTCTACAACCTCCTTAAAGAGGTGCAATTTCAGTGTTTACAAATTGAATGACAAGGTAAGGCAAAAAGTTTACTGTGTTAACAATTAGTGTAGGTATATTCAAGGGCTTAGCTAAACTAAAGATTCCAGTGTCACAAAAGTTTTGCAGACGGAGTGTGGGGAGCGCCTTAGGTCCGAAGTAGGGCTGAGCTATCAATGGGCGACAATATCTGCAAAAAAATGCAAATAGTGGTTTTATAGTCAATCATATCACCATGTATGTGTAGCAGGAAAAGAGAAATGCACGATGTAAACATATGGCTGGGCCAAGAATCGAACCCGATAGGTATCGTAAAACCTGGATACTCTACCAATACAGCACAAGTTAATTTTTTTTGTCTTATTTGAAAATTCTAGATGAAAACTTTCAATCCTTTTTTTTAATGTTGCAAAATGGTTGAAAAAAGAATAAGCAATAAAAAATATAATTCTTAGTCTATAATCAAATTCACCTATAAAAGTGTGATGAGTTTTAGAATTCTGTGTTAAATTTTGAGGTACCGTGGAAGATATCGTCCTAGGTTTTTATTCTGAACAGAGTTCCAAAATACAAATTTTAAATACCTTTGTGTCTTTCTCTGCATATGAGATATATAAATTCAAAATGTTTAGCAGAGTTCAGAACAAAACTGAAACAAAAGATATGTTATTGTCTTATGTAAAAACAAATATCTAAAACAATATGTACATTTTACTGAAATTAACAAAAACATTAAAATCAATATGGATATTTTACTGAATTCACAACTATAAAATACGATGGTGACATTTGTAGAAATGCTTTAAATAAATATATGTTACTCTGTAATTTTTGTTATACTAACTATCCTGGCCCAGGTTAGCTAGAATTTGTAAACTGCTTTGTATAATGATTAATAAACTTATTTTTAAAAAGTATGCATTTTATAGACAAGTTCATAAAAGTTCTAAGAATTCCACCATAAACTGTTGTTGATGGTGTACACATTTAAAACTCAGTATGTAGTTCTACAAAATACAATGAATGCATTCAACTGATATAAATCCAATATTTTTAATAGTAGTGTTGTACATGTACTCAGCATATACTACATGTATGTCCAAATAGTAGTCAGTTTGACATATGGTGCACGAACCGGATGCAATACTTACCTTCCACACCCAATAAAAACTTTTAAAGTACAACACTATTGCTATTATTACACATTTGTAGGAAAATGACAATATTTTCTCCATTTCCAGTTTCATTACCTTCTCAATTCAGTACACCCATATTATGACGTCACGTTGTGATACATATACGTCATAATCGTTTTAACGAGGCCCGATCTAGTTGAAAATTACGAAAACGGAATGATAAAAAATTTTAATTCTTGGAAATATTCTTGTATGTTTTATGCTTAGAAAAATTACAATGAAATTTTGTTACTTTTCCTTTATTGTAGTGAAATGGGGGCACTGTCAAGATATGGGCCAATTTTCGTTTTTTTATACACAATTACATACTAAAACTCTTCAATAAACAAAGAAATTTACAAATTAAAAAAAATACATGATGAAATTCTTTGTTTTTCACATATATCATGCAATTTTCATTCTTCTTATCAAAAATGTAAAGAAAATTGGAGGTAGCCTTTATTGCAGTGAAAAGGGGGCATGCCAAAACACAAAATTTAGATTTATTCTATCCAACTACGTATTTTATAGGTCGCAATGGGTTTATAAAACACCAACAAACGATTGCAATACTGTATTAGTTTCTAAAAAAATAAATAATTCCTACATTATGAAATAATTTTCTCACCATGCTTTATTTTTCTCTTAACATGCGACGTTGTTTTACATGGAAATTAGGGGGAGAAGGGGTGGGGTGGGGGGGGGGGGTTAAGGCGACAAAATTGCGATGTTCACGAATATCATGTAATATATAGAAAAGTAAAATATTTCGGGTGTTCAATTTAAATGATTTATAGACTTATTTTATTTTTTAAAACTGAAGATAATCCATGCATATTTAAGTCCGCAATAAAAAGAGTGTGTATAAACACTCCAACATGTTCAAAGAGAAAGACTAAAACCGTTTACTTTTAGTTGCAGCGTTTGTATTTTTAAACTCACAAATTGAAATAAAACAGGATAAAATTAACGAATCTGTACCAAAAATTGATCCCTCAAAGTTAATTAGGTTCCAAAGTTGTTTATTAATTGAAATATTAAAAAAAAATAATAGAAATGCCAGCTTTCAATGCAGGTAAGCAAGATCAGCGAAACATTTTAGCGCAATTTGACGTCATTTTAATTGTGACGTTATTATGTTCAATTGTGACGGCAGTCAAGGGTATTGTGACGTGCCTGAGTCGACGCTGCGTTAAAACGTATGCGCAGATCAAGTAGATCGGGCCTCGTTAATTTAGAATGTTCCATGCATTCAGTTTGATAAACTGATAGTTTTAGAGAATTTTAGGGGACAAATTGCAAGAAACTGTTGTAGAAAAAAAATATTTTATTGCTATTTGTAAGTGTAAAATATTCATTTATATTATTGTTCACTGATATAGACAACGGTGTTGATGACGTAATCAAATCAAAATCAGGGAAGTGTAGAACTTCTGTTTGAAAAATAAAAATTATCCTCTTGTTATTATCATAGCCGTATACTCCAGATAGTGGTATTCATCAACACTCCCCTTCCACACCCAATAATCGGTGTTAAACGGACCGTTTAAGTAAACATTTTCACAAGCATTGAACCACCATCCTCCGTCCAAACGTGAGGCACACTGAGCTTGGTCAGGTCTGTCCGGAGTGACAAAAGGTTGGCCATTGAGAATATAACTACCACGAGTGACATAGTCATCTGAAATTAATTATTGTTTTTCATTTGGTTTAATCAATGCTTGTATAATACATAAATAAAAAATTACAATTCTTAAATAAATAATGAATAAATCGCAAAAATATATCTTACGTGTAACATTGCCAGAAAAATTGCCAGCTACATGCAAACGATATTCGTCGGTTTCTGGTCCTATTGAAAACGATTCATACCGAGCATGAAATGATCTCAGTGAGGTATCTTTTAATTCGATGTATAGTTTGTTGGAATCAATCGCTGTCAGCTGATGAATGACCTCATTTCCTGTAATGTTTTGACAAAGACTTTAAATAAAAAATACAAAAATTGTTTATATATTTCAAGGCAATGGTGCGTACCTTTACAATCATTGAATATGTTGTTTGAATTGGCATGATGAATTTGATTTCGGTTTAAAATGGACATTGACAAATTAATATGAGTAATATGTATATTGATGTGCTGGATATTGCTTGAACGGCATCTCAACTATCATTATATCCCCCGCTTAAAATGCGGGAGGGTATATAGTAATCCTAAATTCCGTCCGTCTGTACGTCTGTCCGTCCGTCTGTCTGTCTGTCTGTCCGTCCGTACGTACGTCAGTCTGTTACGATTTAGGGTACCCATCTCTTATCCGCAACTCCTCTCATACCACTGAATGAAATTTGATGCAATTTTCACAGAATCTTTATTACATATTGCCATTGTGCACCTCCTATTTTACTTTCTGATCCAACACATATTTTGGGTTTCCCGGCCTCAGGAAAACATGGACTTTTTCACCAGTTATAATCATATGGAAGGCGGAGGGTATCATTTAGTGAGCTCATTGCTCACAGTACCTCTAGTTCTTAATTGAATTTATTGGTTATCAGTACAAAAGAAAAAGATTCAAGTTCAATTGTTATAGGTAAAGATAACAAAAAGGAAAGGACTTATATAGGCAGCGCCTGTTGTCCGATCCGATTATGTTCGAATTCATTCATAGTAAAATACTATTTAAATTAAATTAAGATAACAAAAAGTAACCACTTTTCAGAAAAGCAACGAACAAGGTAAGAAACTGCGCATCTAAATAGAAAAGAGATTAGATCAGGCTGTTGTCTAAGAGGAGTCAACATCGCTTGTAGATCGGTTACATCCATAGAGAGTACTCTATGATCATTAAGTAAACAAAGTAAAATGTAGTCTTAATGTTTATAAAACAATGGCTTTATGGCTAACGGAAACATGTAAGTCGAGATGTTAGATGTTCAAAATTCTACCCATCTGAAACAATCCTTATTTTTCTATACAAATATTTTTTGCTTCAAATTCCATTTTTGTGCAATTTTGAATTAAAAAAATAAAAACTATGCGGTTAAACTTATTCATTTTATTTATTTAAACATTAACCGAGATGTTATTTTCGAAATTTTGGACAAAAGTTGTATGTATCATTTGTCCTTAGAATCAGAAGTCAATTGTAGCTTTATAATTCAGGAGCAGAGCAAACAAGACCTCAGAGGTTGAATCAGGTGCAATGAAGGAGCGAGCATCCCCTGTCAAGCGATAACATTTTCGTCGTGTGCCCTTTATCATGATTGGGAAAATAACGGAGAAATCCTATTTCAATTCAGTGTTTCAATATTGGACTGACCATTGTTATGAAAAAGTCATTCAGTATTTAACTTAAAGATTGGTTATATTTGCTGACAATTTCAATGTATCGACCATAGATTTTACCAAATGATTTCTTTAAACGAGACTGTTGATAATCTTGTTACATCAACTAGTTTGTCTAACTTATCTCGTTTAAGAAAATATTGATAAGTACAGCATGTGTCTGCAAATCGACCCGATAAATATAAACCCCGGGTGATTAAGATGAACTGCTTCACAAGAAGAGAAGTTGACGATTGAAAAGCTTAAGTAATCAATTTTATAATTAAGCTTGCTAGTAGATTACCATTAACGTATATTGCAAGCAAAATAGTTGCTCTCATGGCGCAGTGCTTAGAGCGCCTGCTCTAGAGTCGCGAAGTAAGGAGTTGGAATCAAACTGTGGGACATGGAGACCGGTCCTTCGGATAAGACCGCATAAACCGAGGTCCCTTGTCGCAGTATGTGCTGGCAGGAAAAAGATCCCTCCCAGCTCAGTGGCCCTGGGTGCCAAGTATACGATAAAATTTGCAGCTTTCCACCGGCAAGTAGTGGCGTATCCATATGAGTGAAAACTTTTGAAAATTTAAATTCATAGTAACAGAAAATTAAAAAAAAATGTTTTAACTTGTTGACCTTAGATATATACTGTACACACAACAAAATTAAGATTTCAGTCTATATTTAGGCAGTGTGAATTTTAGCTTCTTGTGTGATATTTGAGTTTTATTGGGTTTAAAAACTCTAAAATAATTAATTACCTAACCAAAAATCAGTAGATAGGTTCCCGAATCCATATTTGTATTCATGCCACGTTCTATTGAATAGTACCGACTTGTCGATTCCTCGCCTTTGAAAAACCTTTTGAATTAAAATGAGTATAAAAACAATTTCTGAACTGAACAGATATAAATCATGATTAACGATGAATGATTTTTTTTAAATAATTTTTAAAAAATGTTTTAAAAAATATATTTATCTTTTACATGTTTTAATAGCATTCATATTTTTATGTTATATTAACATCATCTTACTGACATGCCACCGGGACTCACGCCCATCTCACAGTAAACCGATATGGATCGTTTAATATCATCCCAGGGGTATATTGTGTAGACTCCGGATCTTGTGTTTCCAAATGTGTACAATTCGTAACAATCCTTTGGACCTAAAACAAAATGTTAGGAACTGTGCATATACTTTCTCCTTGATGATAATTTTTACTGTGTAACATCATTTTTTATGTCCTTTTAAATCCTGTACATTGGTAAATCACCACGATGGTTTAAAATTCATTACCAGTATATACATATAAAAGGTTAAAAATAAGTTTTTGCAGCGTGAAATAAAAAGAAAATAACACAACCAGTCTGAAATTGAAACTTTAAAACAGGAAAATATTACCCTCCGCAAGGAACTTCAGCTGTTGAGGTCGATTGTTGTGAATTTAGACAGGAAAGTGACACAACAAGAATGTGAGATTGTAGATCTGAGAGGAAGATCTATGAGAGGTAACATTCTAATCAATAATCTGACAGAAGAGGAAAATCTTTTTCCAAAAGCTCATTAGTGATCATTTAAAACTGGACATCGGTTTCGTTAGAATTCATCGTAACAGACCCCGAATGCCAGGCAATAAACCCATAACCATTACGGGAAATCTACGTCAATCTACATCAAATATAAGGACCAGATTCTGGCAACCACAAGAGCTCTGCGGGAAAAAGACACAAAAGAGAAGAAGTGATTTACATTGTTACATTGCCCCTCAAACACCAATGCAAATAAACGAAAGTAGAAAGAGGTTTAAGAAGATCAATACATAGTATAGAGCAAACAAAATAGAGACCAAGATAATTAGGAAGATAGTGGTGTTTGTGTGTGGAGGAAAGGTAACCACCCATAGAGCTGAAGATCTTCTCTTCGTGGAAGAGACAGAAAAGGAAAAGTTGAACGAAATAGAGGTGGTGACCAGTGATCCCATCCACAATTGTGATTACGTGTTCAGAGCGACGGCAAGTCCGACCTACATTTTAAAAACCTTAACCTTGGCCATAATTTTGAACGGTTTAGGCTGTGGTTTTCATGTTCCACACATATATAATGATAGTGACAAGATCTTTCATCGGATTTGAAGAACTTTGACCATTTGACCTTGAGGTTAGAGTTTGATCTACTTTAAAAAATACAACTATAACCTTAGTCATAACTTATGAACAGTTAGGGCTATGGCTTTCCTATCACTTATATATAATACTTATGAAAAGACCCTCTCTATAAACCAATAATATTGACCCTTCGATATGACCCTGGAGTTTGACCTACCTTACAAAAAATTTTTCTTGGCCATAACTTTTTGACAGGTGGTGCTAGGACTCTCATATTTTAGAATGCTTTTCTTGTGAGAAAACCTAAATTTGGGTACCGGCATATTTAGATTGGATTTAAGAAAAGTTTAATCTTCGCTATGATATCCTACGGGACATCCGTGTTTCATAAACAAATCTTAATGATAAATGTTAAACATTTTTAATCGGAAAGCAGCTCCTAACAGTCATTTAATAATGAAATCCCATTTAAGCGCAAAAAGGTCAAGAATAGTAGCATCAGTAAACAACCTATTTTTAATTAGTTGCAAGCGAAAGCTATACATTTTAAACGCTTTTTGTAATCATTTATGTATGTTCTTCATCATATTACAGATTGAGAACATTCTAACAAATACTTTTGAAAAAATAATTACAAATGTCGGGTTGAAAATTTACTTTTGCCTATTTTTTTAAAAACATTAACTTACCTTTTACGTCATTTGAATGAAACAGAATTTAACCTTAAGAAATATTGCTTGAAACTGTTAAGTTAAGAAAGTCTTTTAAAGGCCATGCTTTTTTGATTTTTCATATTTTCCTTTATGACATGTTCCCCTAAAATAACTGAAAATGTGTAGCCTCAGTATGTGATTATCATTCCAGTTTTCACGGAATCCAATATATTCAATATCAAGGAAACATACCATAGGCTTATAACTGATTGATAACCAAGTACTTATTTCTCATTTTGTTTTAAAGTCTTGTGACAAAGTCTTTTTCGTTATTTGTTCTACCTCACGAAATTCAAGGGCTGCTTGAAAATAATTGTATATGTGGATATGTACATCGATCTAAAGTAGCATTGACTTAGCTTCATGAAGTAACAAAATTTGCAACTCTGGTCCACGTTATTGAGTTCGTAATAATTGATGGCTGTCAGAATCTTTTATTTTAAACATGGTTTAATAATTTTTCAGAAAAAAAATTACCAACCCAAAGACAGGTTTTATTTTCAATCTTATTGCTTCAGCAGGTCATTTAATTGCTGCAGCGCCATGACTTCAAAATCCATTTTGTCATCAATTTTCATAGTGAGCTTAATCTTTTTTTTAATTATCTCAGTATTTCTGATCGATATTTTGGCAAAATAACACAAAATGAATTCAAATGAAACATATGATGGTAAAATATAAAAAATGATAAAATTATTTATGCATCTGTTATGGGGAATTTTATATACAGCAGAAAAGAAGGAAGAAAATATTAGTAAAATATTTCTTGATTTTTTTAAACTCTTGAAGTTTGTCAAAAATATATGCAAAGTTTTGCAAAAGACGTTCATTATAAAGAAGATTATTGTACATGTATAGTCTTTTTCTAGTCTTTATTTAACCTATACAAGCACAAACAGTTCATAGCACTACTTATTCGCCGGATTTGAGACTGTATTCACAGGAAGGTCGACGTCAGTGCGCGTGCAGTGGCATTTTGACGTCACATTGAACACTTCAATCAACGTTGTTCACAATAGTTGTATCGATCGCAACCGGATATGTACCTAAGCAGAAAAAGCTTTTAAACATTAAAAAACCATTTTTAATGTTGCCATAGTAACCGTAAAACATAGCAATCAATTTTTGCCTGATCTTAGTTTAGGGTATCAAAGTATTTTATCATAGAGAGACTGAATAAATTCTAAGACTATGCGTACCACAGCTCCTATATAAAATTTCAAGTCATTACAGAGAATGACTCTGAAAATGAATCTCTGTAATAAAAAAATCAGATTTAATCCTATTTGTATATTTAACTGAAAAAAAATGTATGAATGTACCCGTTAAAAATATTTTGCATGCTGTATATGTTAATATGTGTTTAAGTAATTGTCTAGACAATACAAGGATTTGTTTAATAATTTGTTAAAAAAAATTTAGATTTTCCTAACTTTAATGAAACTGCGTTTGATTAATTACTTTTTAGTATTTAAAGGTATCCAATAAAAACACTCACTCATACGATACGTCAACTGCATACATAATAAGTACATTGTACTAGTAATACCTTCTGTGTCCGGAATAAAGTATCTCCATCCTACTTCCGGTCCTGCTGAGTTAGTTGAATGACATCCGGCGTGAAGTCGGCATTTCTGTCTTTGAAAATTGAAACCAAAGAAAGTACACCCAGGACCACACATTGCTGAACACATAATCAGTGAATAAGCTTCATATTCAGACAACAGGTTCTCCTGTAGTATATTATCATTCAAGTCTATTTTAGCTGTGTATCGCCTTGATACAGACGTGGAAAGCCGAAATAGAACAGGGAATATAATTCCCATAAATCCCTTGTTCATCATAGTTGTTTCTAAAGTCTTCAATGAATAATATCTGACATTGCAAGAATTTATACAGTAAAATAAATGACTTATCTTTTTTTTTAAACTGAATTCGTAATTAACCATTCCCTGATTGGATCGATAGGATGGGGTTTAATAAATCAACCCAATGGGCGGAACTACAAGAGCTTAAAGACGGATGAACATAAAAGAAGTCAAAGTTAATTAAATAATATCTTAAAACTTTTTTATCTTTTGGTAGAACCCGCACAGGGAAATAACAACAATGCAAAGTATGGATTGGACTTTTATCATCTCAACAGGTGGATAAAATGACGAATTACACAATTTATTTTGACATTATACACTGACTACTTATTGCATGTTAACAAGAACCCAAATCACTAGATAAAATACCATCTTATATAATGCTTCCTTTATATTTATATCATGTAAATATAGGTCGTAATATTTTTGAAAGAGATAATTTCAACTGGAAATAAATGACCAATAACAAATTCTTTTTTTCTAAAAGATGGAATTTTCATAATACGCTAAAGGTCATAATTAATCAAATAATTACTGAAACAGGTAGGGTAAAAAGTGCGTTAAAGTCGTGCACTTCTTGGTGATAACAACAACCAATATAATTTTTGATTTCCACGAAGTATTGCCAAAATTACTAAAAGTAGAAATTTATGTGAAACTCGAAAGGTTACTTCTCGTTAATAAGTTTTTGTTGGATTTCAAAAAGAGAATACACAAATACAAATTAAAAAAAAAAAACAATCTGGATAACGGTTCTAAATTTCCAAGAACATTGTTGCCTTGGCTACTCAAAAAAGAATTTCTATGAAATGTATGTGATACAATTTTCTCTTCTTTTTTTCTATAGACCAAATATTGTTTATTTTTGCTAGAAAATTTAAAAATGTTCCAAAATACGTAAAACATTTATAAACTTATAAGGAGGATTATAAACAGAATTTTTGTAGAAAAGGTTTTATTATAACAAAGTTGTAGATACATGATACATGAAAGGCAAGGGCAAAAAATATGTGATGTAATTTTAAAAATAAATCATTTTTGTTTATGATGGAATGTAATTATGTGCTAAATAATTCTAAGGATTTACAATATTAATTGTAAATATATGAATGCAATTTTCTACTACTGCCACTCTTCTCTCCCCCCCCCCCCACCCTTTTTTTTTATAAAACAACTTCTCCATGTTACCTGATTCCACCTCTGACTGTATTCTCTGCTTTTGAATTGTTTTATGGACTTAAAGATTGAATACTGTTTGGTATATCCATGTCCTTCATATTTGACTCAATATTTAAGGAATGAAACTTATTTCGACTTATATTATACGATATAACATAACTTGGGGCAGTTTACGCTTTATAAACCGCGAAGCAGTTTATAAAAAAGCGTAAACTGCCCCAAGTTTTGTTATATCGTATAATATAAGTTGAAATAAGCTTTATTCCTTATAATTTTATTTTAGTGCAGACAATGAGAAAATTTATCACCGGAATAAGGCTTTATAATGATTGAATTTTAAAAGTAACGTCACGCGGAGTAATACGTTTTTTTTACACAACTCATTGTGACGTAGGCAAGTTATGTCATCCAAAATGGATAAAATCTTTTATCCAATCAAGTAAAATTAAGTTATATACACATAAACATAGATGTTAGGAGAAATTTACTTTTTATGTCTTTTTACCATTTTTTAAAAGTATATCTACTTATATACAAAGATGTTTTTTACCAATAATGCTCTTCAAAATTAAGACTATCCAGGTTCTAATTAATATTTTAACTGCATATTAAAAATTCTTTTCTTTAATTAATGGTTCAAGAGAAAGTTTCACTCATACGATACGTCAACTACAATCAGAATAAGAACATTGTACTAGTAATACCTTCCCAGTCCGGAATATATATTTCCATCCGGTACAGCTGAATTACTTAATCTGACTTCAAATAAGGTACACTATGAACCATACATTGCAGAGCATATAATCAGTGAATAAAAGTAATATTCAGTTTTTCTGGGGTATCTTATCGTTTGGATGTATTTTAGAGGTGTAGCGCCTTGAGACAGATATGTACTACATGCTTAAAAGAACAAAGTCCAGAAGGGAATGTCAATTACCATCTTCGAGCACCGAATTATATATATATATAAAAATGAAGGAAAAAGCAATGTCCTAAGGAGAATCAGAATGATTTTGGATGCCTTTAGAAATATCTATATGTATTTAGGCCAAAATATTAATATAAAAGTACCTTTGTTACAATGAAAGGACATTTATTAATAAAAATCTATTACTGCGATACCAAAGTATACATGTAATGAAGCGAATTGAAGTGGTAAAATTTTCCGTTTGGATGGAACGTTTTGAGCTATCTTTAGACACGCCCAATTCTGTAGAAAGTAAAAATCGGTCAGATGATTCAATCGAATACCTGTAGAACAGGTATTTCATATATATAATAGCCAATCAAATTGACGATCTATATAAACACCGAGTAAGCACGTGTTCGACTGATCCATGTGCTATGCTAACTCCAATAAGCATAATAAAATCATAATTATTTACAAAATCGTTGCAATGCATGTTTTACAGAAGCGGGGACTTTTTCTTATTCAAAAATCTTCATTTCAGGGTAATTCATGTTGTTTGTTGCGGAAAGTGGACGAATATTTCTTTCTCGTTTCTAAAGAAATGGACATGTCGTTATGTTATAATTGACATTCAAAACCTGACTAAGAACCTTTCATCCAAATAGAAAATTTTACCACTTCAATGCCCTTCATTGTACCAGACTTATTGCGCGTATATACTGATTTCAAATGGTCTTTATCACATTTCCTTGGTCGATACATATACAATGACCTCCATCGGGGAAACAAGAGTTTCAGCAGCGTCGTTTAAAGTCATCATTTCATAAGTTCTATGGGCGATACAATGACCTTGTGATGAAACTTTATTTTTTCTACATTTATTTCGGTATGTTTCTTTGAAAATAATTTTCTTTTTGGAATTGCTGTCATGACATCATTTCTTGACCACAAATTTTACGCCAAATTAATTGATAATCCAGAAAATCGTTTTATTTGATATTTTTTTTTCTTAACAGTGTTGATATTTTGAAAATATTTCCGACATGAAAGCTAAAAGTCCAATACGCACAATGAATCATATAGTCAGTATTGAATTAAATTAATATTAGAACTGATGTAAATTATGAACCATCATTTTTGTTCTAAAAATTGAATGAAAGAAGACCATGCATCTTTTGGTTTAAGTACTGAGATGAATAGATGAAATTGGTGAAAAGTGACCAGCAATCTCAAAACGACATCGTTGTCAATCAAATATATAGAGAAAAAATAAAATTATCTTCACTTTTTGCACAGATCTGTATACCAACATTTTTTTCTTTTTTTACCAATATTTTAATTATACCTCGAGTATTTTTATCTAACGAATTGATTTTATCTTTTTTTGTCCACAAATTGAAGACAAATAAATCAAGACATATATTTATTTTCACCACTTATAGCACATGAATATATAACCATAAAAAAACTCTTTACATCATCATTTTTGTCCTCAACCTTTTGTAGCCACCCTGTGTCGTCACTTTCTCTGTGTATTTTCATAAACGAATATTTGGTTAAAATTAATTTCCAATTTTGATTAGAAAAAAAATTCCGGAAAATCATATACGATTGTGGGAAACATGGGATAATTTGCATAACAGGCTTACAAAACTAACTGTAATCAATAATTTCTTATCTTTATAAAGTATATTCAAATCTTGTTAAATACAAGTTGATACTTAAATTCATTTTTGTAAATATGATTCTTAAAATGTTGTTTTAATTTTAATCGGACTTACATCTTGTTTGGCCAATTTTGAACCACAGGGGACCGAATAAGACAATTTGAACCGATATTGTACAATCGTCTGCAGCAAACTCTCTAGTGCATGTGTTTATTGTGAAAAAAAAAACAATCCGAAAATTTATTTAATTCTTTGAGGAAAATAAAAACAACATTGAACATTTTTAGTTTGATTTTATCATCATGACAGTCTCTGTTATCTGACTTCCGTCAGCCAGTGTAGGCCACCATGGTTTATACCAGTATGCTGGGGACCATTGACCGTTAAGGAATGCGAAACCACACCAATTAAACCACCAGCCTCCTCTTCTGTTGTTGTAAGCAGCACAGCTGCCATTACTCCACCTGTCGTTATCCCTGTCTGGTGTGGAAAAGTTCATCCCAGACAGATCGAGGTCAATAGGGTTACCTGTGTCCAACATACTGTCACCTGTAGAAGTACAGAAAACGATAATTAACCCTTTAACCCCCAGAGACGCATTTGGACGCACTTTCACATTCACAGAGGTTAAACTGTTGGCGTTTTGTAAATAATTGGGATACAACAAAACAACTGATATTTTCTGAAACTAGAGAAGAATCTGAACATTTTTGCTACACAAAGTTTTTCTATATGATGTTAAAAAATTATCGTAAACTTGAAGTGAATATTTCAAATTCACCCAGGAAGTTGATAAAATTACGCATAAATGACCGATTTTGTGCTATCCTCTGTTGAATTTATCTTAATATCAACACAAAATAAAATTAAAATAAATGGCATGACCCGAAAGCTGGGAATGTTCCCTACATTTGTATTACAAACATTATAAGATACATGCATCCGTTACAGAGATATCTGTAGTTGAATATTGGATCTTTTTTGAGTAAAATACACAAAATGCAAGTATGACGCGAAATTGACGTTTTACATGTACACATGTACAATGAAATTGTTTATGAGCGCAACGTAAAACAAACTGATACATGTAATTTTGATACTTGGAACAGATTTATTTCTTAAATGACTTATTTGTAAAGAAGAGTTAATGATCAACATGATCTGAGTCATTAAGATTTTTTTTCTATATAGCTTTGGAAGAGATATATGTACATTTAGTAATATTTAGTCATTGGCTCAGCTCCCCGAGTGCGCGCACCCATATTTCTTTTAGAAATCCATGTCGAATTTGTGTCGTTCATACATGAACTTAGGAACAATTAATCAAATATTAATCAAATATAATCGTTTCCATTTTACATATCATAACAAAAAAAAATTGCACTGAAAATAACGGTACGGACAGCATTAGTGTGAAATTTTTTTTTCGGCAAAAAAACTGAATAGCTACAGGAATGGAGTAACCTTTTGACCAAAATAAATATACCTAACTTGCCTTTATAATTATTATTTTCTCACTATTTTTCTAACAATAGTAGTTTATTTTTGTGTGTGTGTGTGTGTTTTTTTTTTTTTTTTTGTTTTTTTACAAAAACAATTTTACTATTTATCTCCCTTCTATTTATCTCCCTTATGGTTACTACGCTACAATGTAAACATAGACTATAGGTGCGAGTAGCGCGGGAACTATGAACGTATGTACCTGTAATGGAGGGGTATTCATCGGATGACGATAGCGATACTTTGTCTGAAGGTTCTGACCTACAATTATTTAGCGATTACGAGTTTTCATCCGACACAGACAGTGACAATGACACCCAGCAAACAGAGTCATCGATAGAGGCAGACAGTCAACAAACAGAGGCGGGTGAGGATGACTTTTGGTCGTATGATCTCCATCCAGTGGATGTAGCACCATTTACAGAGCCAGTAGGACCAGAACACAATCTTCTACCTGATGATGACTTGATTAAGTATTTTTACTTGATGATAAATGAAGAATTCTTTGAAATTGCGGCTCGGGAGACTAACAGATATGCAGAGCAGGAAATGACACGGAAAGGTTCCCGCGATTCTGTTTGGTATGCCACGACAGGTGTTGAAATGAAAGCCTTTTTTGGAATGACTATTATTATGGGGATAAACCAAGTGCCTCGTATTGATATGTATTGGTCCGAAAACCCGTTTGTTGGTGAGTGGAAATAAAAAAATACTGCATGAATATCATGAAATTTTCACCAAATATTCTCAAAATGAAAAACAGATAAAAAATAAACATATTTTTGTAATAAATAATATTTATATATGAATTATAAAATACAAACAAAAAGAATAGCCCCTTGTTCCAAGAAAGAAATTGTATTTATTTTTAATCATCGCACTTTTTTTTATTAGGAAATGCTGGTTTCAAAACATGCATGACGAGAACAAGATTCGAAAAATTACTGCAATATCTGCATATCAATGACAACGATGCTCAGGCACCTGCTGGATCACCTAATTTCGACAGGTATGAAATTTTCCACATAAAAAGGTCTCAGACACCTTGAAAAAAATATAAAAATAATTTTACATAAACCCCCCCCCCCCCGGATTTTAATTTGCAAGAAAAAGACATTCATATTTTTCTCAAATTCAATGAACAAATTCTTAATAACTCGTGACATGTTTCTAATATTTCAGATTTCATAAAATCAGGCCTCTTATCAACATGACGAGAGAAAATTTCAAGAAGGTTTACAAACCAGGGAAGTGCCAAAGCATCGATGAGGGCATGATAAGGTATATAGGCCGAAACATTCTATAATCCTTCTCTTATTCTTCATGCACTCTTTACTTAGCTTATAAGCTACCTTGAAATCATCTTCATTTTAAATTACTCGTTTCACATGTTTTTAAGGTACAAAGGACACCATTATGCCCAGCAGTACACCCCAGGAAAACCAATAAAACGTGGTCTGAAGGTATATTTATACAACATTTTCAAAAATCATGTTTTCCAAAATAATATTAAAGATGATTCCCATTTATACTTTTCAGTGAATATATATATGGGGTAATATTTAGCTATCCATATTATTTTTTTTAATTATTTATCACTTTGTAATAAATTTTATGTATAAATTTATGATCTAAATTAATTTGACAATTTCAAAGAACAAAAAATGAATATTAAATACACTTGAATTTTATGGGTCTTGCAGCCACGTTGTGTCGTTTTTGATAGGGGGTGGGGGGGGGGGGGGGGCAGCCAGAGAATTTTTTTTACTTAGCAAAGAAAAAAAAACACCTACTGCGACACGGGTCCTCGGTTTATACAGTCTCATTCGAACCAGCGACGTATGGATCAACTTCTAACATCGCGCCTCTAGAAAAGACACTTTTACCACGTGCACTGCGCCACACGGGCGACTATTATAGATTAGAAAATCATAAAGTAACAATGTGATGTAAACGTTTGCATGCATCGAAATTCTGTAACAACTTGTACTGCACATAAATATATAACAAGAACAGCTCTTTACACGTAATGACATTGAATTTTTTTTTTAAGATATGGATGAGATGTGAACCAAGCGGCTACACGAATGACTACAGGGTGTACCTTGGTAAACACGATTCTATGTGTGGTCCATCATTAGGGGAACGGGTTGTCAAACATTTATGCAAGCCTCTGAAGTGGAAAGGTCACCATGTTTTTTTTGACAGGTATTCAAGTATATGTATAATTGTTTTGGAGAGAGAGAGAAAGAGAGAGAGAGATTTGAATGTTCTTACCTGTAAATTAATTAGAATGAATTAAAGATGAACTTGAAAAGGCTAAGACATAGTCATTCTCAGCTTGAATCCTACCTATGGGAAGAAGCTTTTTGAGCATCAGATATTGCAAGATATACGCTTATATTATTAGCGCACTTAGCGAAAGGCACAAGTGAGCGCTTTTTGGATTAAAATTTGTCTATTGTGCGTCGCCGTCATTGGTATTGTTGTTGTAAACTTGTCATAATATCATTCTTCTTCTGAACCCATGGACCAATTTACTAGCTACAGTGATCAGGCGAGCGATGTGGGCCCCCGTGCCACTTGTTAAATAATGTAGACTATAATCAATCTGAAATAACTATCATGAATAAAGTCTAATTAATAGTCTTTTTTTCAATTGTAGATATTTTACTTCCATTCCACTCCTCCAAACTTTGGAATCTTACGGGATATATGGATGTGGCACAATTATGTCAAACAGGAAAGGGTTTCCATTACAGCTCAGGAATCCACACCTTCCTGAGAGGGGCGATGCTGAGCAGATGCAGCACAATAATCTTGTTGCCACAGTCTGGAATGATGCTAAACCTGTATGTATATGATTAGCGTTTTAAATTGTACAAAATAAATATGCTAACACGATGATTGTTCAATGCAATTCTATTTTGGTGAGTTTTTTTTTTGAAAGATAGACAAATAATGTAAGGATTCAAACTTGTTTATGATATGGTATTTTTCCTTTATTAGGTTCACATTGTATCTACAACTTCTGACCCTCTTGGAGATGGCCCAGCTCAGAGAAAGGTTCGGGGCGGAGGTGTAATTGTTATTCAGCGGCCACCTGCTGTGGAACTCTATCAGGAAAACTACTATGGGGTAGATAGAACTCAGCAATATAGGTCGAAGTGCCCTGTAGGCCGTCCGTCCAAGAAATTTTGGAAGTATCTGGTGAATTTTATTTTTGAAATTTCGCTAATTAATACCTTCCTGCTTTGGTTAGAGACCCCAGATACAAAAAAACCAACGAAACATTTCTCGATGATCGACAGCAATCTAGCCATCGCAGAGAAACTTATTGGTGACTTTTCTAGCAGGAAGCGAGCGCCTTCGACTGAACGGGGGTTTCCATGTATTAGTGTTGCCAGTATCGACAGACATATTAGCACAAAGCTGACGAGACCACGTGGAAAATGTAAGCAGTGCACACAGAACGGTCGAAGAAGTGACACATTTTTTGGCTGTAGCATTTGTAATGTACATCTTTGTAGAGGAGCTTGTTTTCAGGCCTTCCATGCTAATCACAACTTGCTTGCATAAAAAGCCTAGCTTTGCATTCTATCAGTCATAGTTGTTGTTTGTATATTTTCAAAAGTGCTCCTTTCTTTTATCAGTAGAATGACAACTTAATTTCAGTCGTCTGTAGGTCCATCCAAATTCCATATATTGTGTTTCAACCAGCAAAGATAAACTTAACAGACTGAAAGTACTTGGATAAAGGTGTTCATTGAGATGGTCACCATCTCAATGATATCTAATATAAAGTTTTTGCGCATTTTTTATTTTGAGATTTTGTAAAATATAGATAATTTCTGTATCATAGTAATTCATATGTGTGATCAATTGATGTTGAAATTTTAGTATCTGTCTGTGACGTAGTTAATTTAACTAAATAAGTTTTGGCATTGTTGCTATGGTAACCATTTATATGCGTTATCAAGGATGTACACTAATAAATAAACAATGTACGTTTGATATCAATATGTAATTTTAACATTCTATATTTACATTTGTTTTTATTCTTTTTTAAAAAGTGACACTTTGAAAGAGTATTCACAAAGTTTACCTTTTTGAGATTTTATGAGGTCAGATATTGGCATAACTACCTCAATAAGAAATTAAAGAAAACGTTAAATAACCACGGCAACATCCTCCATTAGAACCAAAAGACACAATTATGTTCCCTACTAGGGCCTAGTGACGTCCACTAGTGTACGAAGTTCTATTGAAATCTAACAAAAACCCTCTGAGGAGTTGCAGTTTTTAAGATAGCTTTTACTATCACAGAAAAAGGACAGCTTGTTTAGAGTGAAGAGCAGGGGGCGGTCACTTTGTCACTGTATTACCTCATCTGTTTTTGACCAGAAAATCTAAAAAACAATTGAAAACTGACTATTTGCATGCTTTGTATGAATAGTATCAGACATTACTCTGCCAAAAAAGGAATGTTATTCAATTGATATTTGTGCATCTCCAAAGAAAACGCGAAAAGTCACATTTTTACAGTTTCGGGATGAATTCTGTTGCCATGGCAACCGTTACGCCATTTTTGTAATACCAAATTAAATTCTTCAACATATTACCTTTCAGAATATATATGGGTTACTCTCTTTATAAAAGTAAGTAGAACACTTCCTAATTTTCATCTGAAAAATTTTCTCTCAGTTGCAAAAAAATTGAAAAATCTCTAGGGGTTAAAGGATGCTTACGGATGGCGAACATTGTGTCATACCCCCCTCCCCCTCCCTTTAAAATAAAATTAACTAGTATAGCTTGAAACAAGTTCACAATATGCTTTTTTTCTATAGTATCACTAAATCTTCTGTTATGGAAGCATTATTTGTAAATTTGTTCGTATTTCTGGGAAGTAAAAAGAAGAAAAACACATATTTTGGCAATTATGGATCTTTTTCGTTGCCATGGCAACCGCAATGTCAGTTTACTCAACGAAATTGAATACTTTAGGATTTTAACTTTCAGAAAATATATAGGTTGCTTTATGTAAAAGTGACTAGAAAATGCCAAAATTTCTATTCGAAAATTTTTAGCCAATTTGCAGTAAAAAACACAAAATCTCTGGTAGTTAAAGGGTTAAGGGAGTATGGGACTTTCGGGTCATAATTTCAGAGTAATTAAAACTCTAAAATAGAAACACCGATTGAAAGAAGAACATTTCTATAGTTTAATAAAAGTCATTAGAAAATGTTCTAGTGCGTGAATCTAAAAATAGAACACGCCAAAATAAGGGGTGTAACTCTGTATGAAAAAATGATTTTTTTATAATCAATTTTCAAAAATTCAAAATTCCCATAAAAACATCGAAAAAATAATTATTTAATAAACTATTGTCATCAACAGGAATGGAAATTAATTCCTAAAAGAAAAAAGTACAAGGAAAAAATCTAGAAAGACAAATTATTCCAACTTATTTATATAATATCTATTTAGTGGGGAAATGGGTTAATATACATGTACAATGTAATTTTAAGCAATTAAGGAATAATTAAAAGTTAAATTTTTTATGCAATAATTAAAGCGATATGCTTGTTTTACAAATTGATAATAAAAAAATTTAAAGTTAGTGTTAAATTTAAGAGTAATCTCCTTCCGAATTTCCTCAACCCGAATTTCCTCTGCTCCTAGCTGTTATGAAATGGTACAATTATGAGCTTGCAATTATGAAATGTTTGTTTTTAGTTTTTTATTAACTTGATTTTATCAATCAACACTAAAAAAATTCCATCGTTGCTTTATTTCTTTCGTAACACGGTGGATAATGCTTTTAGCTCGAGTTTTGCCAAGCAATCCGGAAATCTTCCGATTTCACGATTTAGTTTTGTACATTACAGTGTATAAGTTATTTCCAGTTTGCAACTCAAACTCAAAATTGATATAGCATTTCTGCTGTCCGCTAGGGGAAGTTAACGAACGATAACTGGAAATCAGCGGAAGTGCTGGTCCTGTGTTAGCCCGTGCATTTACAGACACACACCACTACGGTGTTCTTGTTTCCTATGATAGGATATTATCTGGTAGGTGACATTGTCTTTATAAGTAAAATTTAATTTCTTCAGGTATATGGTGTGATTACTCTATTATGTTTTTACAGTACAGTTCATTAAATTAAATGTAAATTATTTTTTTTCTAAAGACGTCTAACATGTTGGGCTCAAGAAAATATTATTTACATATGTTTTTCTACTTAACCTATCTCAACCTATAGATTTTTAAGTGGGGAAATGTTTACAAAAGTTATATGAAAAATCACAAGTTATATAAATGAAGCGCTATTAGGTAAAGATTTTTTTGAAATATAGAAGTGGTATTTTGTGCTGCAAAATTACCTCCCTTTCCAATCAGCTGTTTATTGTTTATTTCAATATTAGGCCTATATCACATGAAGTATATATAGGAACATTTTACAATACATATTTTATGTAATAATTTGTGATTGTATTCAGACTAGACCAACAAATTAATAATCTTCCATACATTCATTCTTTCTTCATTTCCTCCCATTGCAGAATTTATTCATTCAAGTACAAACAAACACACTTGGCCTTACTATATCCCTTCCCACTCCAATGCAAGGGTGTTAAAAATTAGTAATAAAAATGAGAATCTGTGTCAATTGAAACTATGTCAAATCTTTAGGTATAAAACCTTAACAATATTTTCTGTATTTTTGTAATCGTCCAAAATAGTTATCAAAATGTGTATCATTCACTTTTTTAATTAATTCAGCCAGTTGCCTGTACTTTAAAGATATTAATATTGCACAGGAAAATACAAATTTTCAATTTTTAATAAGTAGGATTTTTATATATTTTAAAATCTCAAACTTTTGCATAAAAAGATTTTTCTTTTGCCAGATGTAACATCAAATGTCTTCCTTTATGATTTGCATTTTTTTTAAATTGTAAATTACAATTTATTACAATGTTTTTATACAAAAGTTTTTGTGAGCAGAATCAGTCAGCACAGGATTTTCCGCACTATACTAATACTAATTGTTTGCATCAACTTTTGTATTATTACATGTATCTCAGTCTTTTTCACAAAAACAAGCCTAGCTCATAAGAAACATAAATGTTAGCGCTTTCCTATTTGATGTTGCACTTTATATATAGCTATCATTCATTGATATTTAGCACTGATGGAGGAGAAACATTTTATAAAGATAAAAACATTGATTTGAGCCATTTAAATGCACCTTTAGTCTATATCATTTGTCTTCAATTCTTAGAATCTGCCTAATTTCTTACAACACATTGACTTTACCTACAAAGTGATGGAAGCTTAATTTGGACTGTGTTGGTAAATTGTTGTAAACAAAATCAGTCAGCACTATACTAAATCTTATTTTTTGCATAAACCTCACATTTTTTCTTGTACCATATCCTACAAAAGTAGGTCCACATAAATAAACAGTTTGCAGCTCTCCCTAAAAGCTGATGCAATTCAAGAAAATATATTTTTTTATATTCACAACTCAAATGAAAGGATTTACAAATGTTAGAAGCTTCATTATAACTTTTCCACAATCTTAAAAAGTCTTAAACAGCTAGGAAACTAGCTTTCATTTACCTCAAATAACTAGTATTTTTATTATTATAGACTCTCTTTAAGTTCTCCCTTTCTTATAAGTAAGTGTCAGTAAGTGCTGGCTTTTATGCAGCATACTGATTTAGATATTTGTAACAGTTGCTTTGATTTAAAAAATTTAGTTCAATTGATATGTACAGTGTTAAAAGTCCTTTAAGGCAAACAAAATATCAGAATCCCATGTGATATAATTTTTACCTGTACATAATTACTTATGTTGCAATTGTGAAATTCACCTCTCTGTTGAAGGGATTTGCACATTTCTGCATGAAATGCTATATGGAATCTACACTTCAATTCATACTGGATTATAACAACGTGGACCTAAAGTCATTAACAATACACTTCATACTGGGTATAGACATAAAATATCTTTTTTTAACATTAATTACATGTACTGTGGAATTACACTTTCTACTGGATTGAAAACATGGAATATCTCCCATTATCATCAACTGACTCCTTCAACTTGCATATTTATTGTATAACACAGTGACACTATTTTTGGACTCACAAGTCTACACCATCTTCATCTTGGATTATTATTTTTCGGATTATTATAAAAATGACTTCTACAAGTTTTCCTCATCAGGGAAAACAAACTACCTCTGAAACAGAATTATGACATCAACCTTCAAGAGTCAGTATATACAGTGTACTTGATGGAAATAAAGAAACAGACTATAGATAGAGTTATCCTTCCTAATGGTAATGTTTTTTTTTACTTTATATTGGATTACCTCCCGTAGAAAATGGTAGGTCACAGCTTCTACTTTTGACGAGGTAGGGTGTGCATGTGGTTATTTTAATTTCTACAAAACAACCAATAAAATGTCGTTTCATATTTACTTCTAAATGCAGAAAGGAAAGTAAAAATGAACATTTGATCTTTCAATTCTTCAATTTATTTTTTAGGGAGAATTGCTAATTGATAC